AATATATATTTATATATATATATATATATATATATATATGTATATGTATATGTATATATATATTAATATCAAATTACACGTAGACTGATTAAATATATATATAATTATTGTTATAGATATATTTATATATAATATAAAAAAATTAAATATGTAAATACGTTAAAAAATAAAATAAATAATTAAAAAAATAATTAAAAAATGTATAGATGTGTGTTATTTCGTTGTAACTGTATTGTGATAATATATATATGTATTTATATCAAAATACACGTAGAACAAAATAATATATATATCTACATACATAAATATATATACGTATATATCACTATATATATACCTATATATAAAAATAATATTTAAAAAAAAAAAAAAAATATATATATATATATATATATATATATATATATATATATATATACATATATTAATTCTACTTATATATTTATGTAATATTTTTACATAATTGGGTATCTTAATTAATTACAATTAGCGGGACCTGCCTGACAACCCATGCCGAAAGTAAAGGGAATTTAATTTGCTAGCACTATATTTAACCCTATAACTTTCCAAGACACCATAAAACCTGTACATGGGGGGTACTGTTCTACTCAGGAGACTTCCCTGAACACAAATATTAGTGTTTCAAAACAGTAAAAGTGACGTTTTTTGCATTTTTCATGCACAAACAGCACTTACACGGACAATATTATTGCTGTGATACTTTTTACTGTTTTGAAACACAAATATTTATGTTCAGCGAAGTCTCCCGAGTACAACAGTACCCCTCATGTACAGGTTTTATGTTGTTTTCAAAAGTTACAGCGTCAAATATAAGGCTTGCGTTTCATTTGTTTCACATTAAAATTCGCCAGATTGGTTACGTTGCCTTTGAGACCCTATGGTAGCCCAAGAATGAAAATTACCCCTATGATGGCATACCATTTGCAATAGTAGACAACCCAAGGTATTGCAAATGGGGTATGTCCAGTCTTTTTTAGTAGCCACTTAGTCACAAACACTGGCCAAAATTGGCATTTTTTGCATTTTTCACACAAACAAATACTAACGCTAGCTTTGGCCAGTGTTTGTGACCAAATGGCTACTAAAAAAGATTGGACATACCCCATTCGCAATACATTGGGTTGTCTACTATTGCAAATGGTATGCCATTATGGGTGTAAATGTCATTCCTGGGCTACTATTAAGTCCCAAAGGCAACGTAACCAATCTGGCAAATTTCAATTTCAAATGTAACGTGCTATATTTGACCCTGTAACTTCCCAAAACACCATAAAACCTGTACATAGGGGTACTGTTTTACACGTGAGACTTTGCTGAATACAAATATGTGTATTTTATTGCAGTGAAAGCAAACAGTATTATGACATTGACATTTAAAATGTCATGTAGAACTAAAAAAATCAAAAAAAATCTTATTTTCTACAATTTTCTTCATATCAAATTATGTTTCACAGCTTAATATTTGATATTAAATGAAAGCGCTGTTTCCACAGAATAAAATGATATATAATAAGGGTGGGTGCATTTAATATGAAAGAGGTGAATTACGGTTGGACAGACGTGTAGCGCATTTGGCTCCGTCCTTAAGGGGTTAATGAAGCAGTTTTAGTATATAGATTATGCCACTGCAGTTTCACTGTTCAATTCTCAGAGGCAAATAACTTTTGTTTCTGTTTATACAGTCTTAGCTCCCCTGTGTGACTGACACAGCCTGCATGAAAACAGAATGGTTTCATTTTCAATCAGATGTAACTTACTTTAAATGTTTTTATCTCCTGCTCTGTAAATTGAACGTTAATCAATAGATCTAGGAGAGTATCAATAGAGCAGGAGATACAAAATTCTAGCTTAAACAGACTGTGCAATACAGGAAACAAAATATCTAGGTGATTTTTCAGGAAATGTTTAGGAAGGCTTTGCAAGTCACATGCAGGGAGGTATGACTAGGGCTGTATTATAGTCAAAGTGATTAAACTCCTAAATGGTAGTGAATTGAGCAGTGAGACTACAGGGGCATAATCTTTTGGGCTGCTTCATTAAGCTAATGTTGTTTTGCTGCTTGTAGTGAAATGAAAATACTGTCAAAGCTATATATGAAATAGTAAAAGGGAGTTCACAACTTATTTAAGACATGTATAGAAAAGGGCATGACGTGGCTCCTGGCAGCTGAAGCACCAAAGGGGACATTATGATGGTGGTGGCCTTAAGGGGACAGCCTGAGGTATGTAAAACTCACCTCCCTTGCACCCGTGGGACCCACTGACACTACCCCATGCCTCCTCATAGCCTGGAGATTCTACTAACTAGAAAATATTTAGACAGCAGAGCATCTTGCTGATACTTGTTTGTTTAAAGGTCCAGTAGGTAAAGAAATTGGTAGTTAAAAAACAACACTATTATAAAACATTGAAGACTTTGGAAAAACTTTGTAAATAAAATATGCCATTTGTATACAACACAAATTGTATCGATTTATGAAAATGAAGCAACAAACTTATGCACTCAACAAATTAAATCATATTTTGATTAAGCATTAATTGTCCTTTAATGTTTGTTTATCCACAGACAAGACAATAGTATAGCTGTTAGCCTTGATGCATCATTGTCTAAAATAATAGATTTTTTTTTATGTACTAGTAATTTAAGGCACTTTCACACATTTAGTACTCTTTAGGTCTAACCTTATTTTGAAGGTTAAACAGCAAGGAGTTTAAATGTAACAATATATTTAATATATTGTAAGCAAGAAAGCATTTAGCATACCATAAGCAGGTTTTATAGGTCCTTGTAGATCTACAAATAACCTGCTTGCCCTTTTTCCATAGCCCTTTGTTGCTTGAACAGTAACCTCTTTGCCCTGAATTCTAAAAAAGCATTTTAGAGAGTGCTGTACAGAGCAGTGAACATTTATTGCCAGTAGTCATATTTACCAATTGCATTTGGAAAGAAAACATTGTATGAATATATTGTTTTTTATTATTATTATTATTATTATGTGACTATATTTTTACTTGTTTTATATATATAAAAACTTTGACAACTGCCCCATCCTTAAATCTTTCTGACCAAAACAAAACTAAAACAAAAATAAGAATTTGAGCTATATATCTGTTCAACAATAATTTGCCTCTTTCATATTAAGTGCACTGACACTTATTATACATAATTTTGTTCAGGAGAAATAAGGATTGCATTTCACATCAAATGTGTATATATTAAGCATAATTTAAAATGAATAGGGAACGGAGCATGACTAGCAACCTGAACAGACACATATCGCAGGGGCATGCATGCATTTTTGCAGATTATCCCAGGAATTACTGTGAAAATGAGTGGAGACCACCTCCAAAGAGCGCTACCCATGACAGGGGCACCTTGGCATACATCCTGATACCTGTCCCAGGCACTTTTGCTGCCAGGAGCCCGAGGTGGTCTGCTGTGGCCTGCAGGTGATGGAGCTAGGGAGAAGAAGCTGCTATCCTTGCCTTTGCATCAGTGGCATGACTGGATTACCCGCCTAACTTCCCCTGGACCTGGGGGGTGATCCCGGTGCACTTCTGGCGGGCAACCCAACTGAGGCAGACTCCAGAGCTGGTGCGCAGATACTCACCATGGTGAAAACAGTGTGCTCTCCCAGATGATGCCATGAGTGGCCAGACATCGAGACCAGACTGGATAAAATCTTTGACACATTCTGGAGGGAACAGCAAGCAGACTTGCGAAAAGTGAGTGACTCACCTACCTCTGTTAGCTTTTCTTGCGTGTTGTGATGTTCCACAAGTACAACAATGCCCACCATGGACAGGTTTTGTAGTGCTGGAAAATTACAGGTTCAAATAAACAGCATTCCCATTTAATTTTTTGCACTTAAAAATTTTACAGATTGGTTTGCTGGGGCAATGTTGCCTTTAAGAATGTATGGCAGCCCAGGAATGAACATTTTCCCCAACATGGCATACCATTTGCAAAAGCAGCAACCCAGGGTATTCAAAATGCCTAGCCTTCTTAGTAGCCACATAGTCACAAACCCTAGTTAAAGTTTGTTTGCATTTTTCACACAAAAACTACAGTTTCACTGATGATATAATTGATCTTATTCATTTTACTGCTCTAAAACATTCATATTTGTGCTCAGCGACATCTCACAGGTACAAAAGTAGCCTGCATGTATATGTTTAATGGAGTTTTGGAAAGTTACAGGGTCAAAAATATGGTTTGCCCATTTCAGTTTCCAGATTAGTTTGATGGGCCTATGTTGCCTTTGCGACTATATGGCAGCCCAGGAATGAGAATCTTGGCATGCCATTTACAAAAGGGGACAACGCAAGGTATTCAAAATGGGGAAAGTGCAGGTTTTTAATAGCCATTTAGTCACAAACCCTGGCCAAAGTTAGTGATTATATTTATTTTTCTGATTTTTCACACAAAACTGCACTTATATATAATCATATAATCATCACTACTATGAATGCTCTAAAACATTCCTATTTGTGTTCAGAATGTCTCATGAGTACAAGAATATACCTTATGTACAGGTTTTATAGACTTTTGGAAAGTTACATTTCAAATATAGGGATTGCAAATTATATTCCCTGATATTTCTGCCTGGGTTGTCAGGTCCCTAAATACATAATTAATAAAATAATATAATTATATATAAATAATATATAAACTACATTTAGAAACACATATTATATATACAATATATATATATATATATATATATATATATATATATATGTGTATAAATTCTAAATGCATTTTATATAATATTTACATAAGTTTTCATTCTAAATGTATTTTAATATTTTAATATTAATATATATATATGAAAGCCATGTATTGTGGCTGAAACGTCGATCAAGTTTTAAGCAATGAAATAAAAGGAAAATCGTTTTAAAGAAACCAAAAGACCGTGAGTGCTTGCCTCTTGTTCCCTTTAAAAAGATTTTCCTTTTATTTCATTGCTTAAAACTTGATCGACGTTTCAGCCACAATACATGGCTTTCATCAGGATCTTTACAGCTCAGTATACTCAGTTTACTGAGCTGTAAAGATCCTGATGAAAGCCATGTATTGTGGCTGAAACGTCGATCAAGTTTTAAGCAATGAAATAAAAGGAAAATCATTTTAAGGAAACCAAAAGACCGTGAGTGCTTGCCTCTTGTTCCCTATATTTGTGTGTGTGTATATATATATAATTAATATATATCATGGGAACACTAAAGTACACTCTTTGAATTCAATGGTTTTACATATCAGGACATAATAACAATCATCTGTTCTTTAGCAGGTCTTACAATTAGGTAAATACAATCTCAGATAAAAAAACACGACATATTACATAGTGACATATTAAACCGTGTTCTTTCTTTTTCCCATGACTGTCCCCCTGCAGTAAATCTGTCAATCACACCATTGTCATCATGAGCACATGACTCTGATGGGTGGGATTGGCTGTCACCCCGATCATGACCGACATGAAGCTGCAAAAGGGTCTGATCGCTAGGGCGTGCTATGCCCCCCTAAAGCCATTAAAGCTCTCATTTTGTAGGATGCCATAGTACGCTCTTTGTAGGGAATTATATTTTAAATGCATAAATTGTTATTAATAAGTTACCTAAAATTTCTCTGAACAACCCCGCCCCTGGCCACGCCATCACTCACACCCCTAAAATAAAAATGTCCCTTTTTGTGCATTTGAACTGTTAGAAGGTATGATAAAACTTTTATACTAGCTTTTCACATGTTAGCCCTGTTGGGTGGAAATCCACCTTTGGTTAGTGTGCCTTGGACCTTCCAGGTGGCTCATTAACCGTGGCTCATTAGTTCCATAGTTCTGTATCTGTTTATAATATAAACAATATATTTAAACCTTTAATTTAATAGCAAACAAAAAAATAAATAAAATAAATATAAATAGGTTAAGCCAAGAATATAATAATATGTCTGATAAAAACTCTAATTTTATAAGAGCATGGCATACTCTACTTTCTTTTTCCATGCTTTAATAACTTTTACAGAAGTGCAGTCAGTGATAACGTAACAAACTGCTTACTTGCTGACTAAAATAAATATCTATTATCTAGAATTTGTTTACTGACAACAGTATTTGGATATCTCTAAATAATATATGACAATGACTGATGCTAGAGACCTACAGGCCATTTATATAGAATAAGCTATTTTTGGTTTATGTATTCAGCACAGAGGGTGTCATGTTGATATCAGGTTGAGCCAAAGAATTAATGACTGACATGGGGCCATAGGACATTAGACTTGGTATTCATGTCTCTAGTATGTTAATGTAAATATGTGACCAAAGATTATTTTAAATAATGATTTTCTTGTTTGTTGTGTTGTTTGGAGCCCTGAAATGGTTGATATCTAGATGTATTTGTTTTCTAGATATCTTACTTTCATTCTGCTATTAATCTTCTCTATACACGTTTTTTCCCCTAAGTCACCTTCACAATCTTCCAACGTCTAAAGTATTTATCCTATTTATCTGATAGAAGTGAATACCCAAATACATGCACATATATAAAGTACTTTTTTTAAGTAGAATGATTATGGCACACATTAGGGAAAATAGCTCTCACATGGAGGCAGTTTTTACATTTCCCCAAACTGCCTAAATCCCTATGTCTGAGGCAATAACTCACAATACTTGCAAAGAGCCCTGTTAGGCTTCTTTATGGGCATTCACAACTTAAGGCATGGACTCTCATTTCCCTAAAACTTGCTGAACACTAACCAGGAGAGGAAAGGCAGACATATAATTTCAGAACCAGAGCTAGTGGAATGAAAAGTAGACAAACACTTTTTACCTAAATACCTCCGGCTGCAAGGAGGAATGTCATACTGGGTTTTCCTAAGCAAGTCCACAGCAGAGAACTCAACAGTTGAGATGGAGAAAATCATCGCCAAGAGATGATATATTTTATGTATTTTACTGCTTCCCTAATTAGGACATAATGCATCAGATATGATCTTATATTATATTACAGCAAAATGAGCATCAAATCCTGTCACTGCTTATGTAGCGTTACTCTCCATAAAACTGAGGTCATTGTTATTTAACAGCATTTTTTACACACTATAAGATATCTTGGAGTACAGGTCTACATAAACCTTCCATTAAACCTACCAGAAATATATCTAAACACATTCAGATTACAACTAATGTAAGAATTGTCATGAATCCAAAGACAATTCAAAGTGAATTACAAATGTCACACCAAAATACACAAAATGGACAAAAGTATTGGGACATGCCTCTTAATTTGGTGTATAAAATCAAGCACCTAGCCATGCATTTGCAAACATTAGTGAAAAAAATGGGTTGTTCTTAAGAGCGCAGTGATTTCAAGCATCGTACTTTGATAGGATGCTATCTTTGCAGTAAATCATTTCATGAAATTTCATCTTGATATTTGACAGTCAAGTGTAAGTGGTATTATTGGAAAGTGGAAATGGTTAGGAAGTGCAGCAACTCAGCCACACAGGGGAGCTCCACGTAAAGTCACAGAGCGGTGTCACCAAGTGCTGTAGTGCCTGGGGGTTGAAAGTCAACAATGACCTACTGATTTCATAGCTAAAGAGTTTCAAACTTCCACTAACTTCCACTGGCATTGATATCAGCACAAAAAATGTATTGCATGAGCTTCATGAGGAGGGTTTCCATGGATGAGCAGCTGCATGCCAGCCTCACATCACCAAGTACAATGCCAAGAGTGGGATTGAGTAATGTAAAGCATGCTGCCACTGGATTCTGGAGCAATAAAAACATGTTCTGTGGAATGACAAATCACACTTCTCTGTTTGGTAGTCTGATGGATGAGTCTGGGTTTGGTGGATGCCAGCAGAATATTACCTGCCTGAATTGTGCCAACTGTAAAGTTTGGTGTAGGAGGGATAAAGGTATGGAGGGGTTGGGCTAGGTCCCTTACTTTTAATGAAAAGAAATCTTAATGTTTCAGCATACCAAAACATTTTTGTACAATTTTATTCTTCCAACTCAGTGGGAACAGTTTCGGGAAGACCCTTTTCTATTCCAGCATGACTGCACAAGGCAAGGTCCATAAAGACATGGCTGGATGAGTTAAGTGTGCCAGAACTTGACTGGCCTGCACAGGGCCCTGACCTTGACCTGGTTGAACACCTTTGGTATGTACTGAAACAGAGATTGAGAGCCAGGCTGTCTCGTCCAATGCCAGTGCCTGGCCTCGCAAATGGTACTGGATGAATTGGCAAAACAATCCTACAGAAGCACTCCAAAATCTTGTGGGAAGTGTTCCCCAAAGAGTTGAAGTTGTTATAGCTGCATATTAAATTTGAAATTGTCTTTGAATTCCAGACAATTCTCACTTTAGTAAGTACCTATACATTTCTAAAAAAAAAAAAATGCCTATTATGGTCATTCATAATCTACCAAGACTTATTAATATTTCTATTATTCTTCTTCTTATTATTATTATTATTAATCTCTATTATTATTATTAACCTGGCACTGCTCTGTCAGCTGGGGCCATATTTATTTGCCCCAGAATAACAGCTGAACTGCATTCAGCACTAAAAAAAAGTCTACATCTGCATTCCAGTGTTGTGTTTTTTTTTATTTTTTTTTTTCTTTGATTTTATCAAAAGCTGTGCATTGTACATTTAAATAATTGTAATCAATAGACAATAGTTAGTTTTTTTATGTTAAAGTTTGCCCTTAGAATTAAAAGCTCAAAATATGGCTGATGCATTCACACTGTTGTGTGAAATCAACTGGAAAATGTATTTAGCTTTGTATATTTAGATCACTGATTGTGACTTAGAAACAAATAACCCAATTTGTTGTTAATTGATGTGAGTTCAAGCTCACACTGAATTAAGGTGCTCAACATTAAAATAAATGCACCATGAATTTAGCATTGATAGTGGCATGCTTAATTAATATAGCTTGGTATTATGGTTCATTTTAAGGGCAAGTCCACCATGAGATGTTAATGTGCATTAGCACAAGAATGCCAAACATTATAAGAATTTATGATAATCTAGACAGAAACCCCAAAAGGGACAAGCGCATTAAACGAATGTTAAGTGCAACAGTATGTAAAAAAATAGCTTAGTCTTAATGAAGATGTTCACATACACACACAAATATATATACATACATATCTACACATATCTTCTCAACACCTTACTCAAATAAAATATTCTGTAACAAGTATAAATCAAAATCATTTGGATGCAACATATGTTGTTTAATAAATGTGATATTTTAGCAACTAGCAACTCTAACTCAAGATATGATTATACATATATTTACAAAGTGTGTCTCCTTGGCAACCATAGAAATTATTTGTAAAGGTTTCTAGATGAAATAAACTAAAGAAACACACAAAATGTTTCCCATTCAATTACAATATATATTATGCACAAACAAACAAACAAACAGAAACTAACACAACAGAGTTACCAGGGCATCTGCTTCCAGTCAATGATACTGCAGGAGTCTTGGTTTATTGATGACGTGTATATCCTTGAACTAAACTCTGAATCTACAAGCAGTCCATGACATGCTGAATTTTAATTTGTGGTTAAAATGTTAAATGTTTTCTAAATATGCTGTTTAAAAAATAGATACTGTTGTGCCCTATCTACAAAACTCAAATTGGACTTTGGAAAGTCTACATTGTGCACAGAAAATCGAGAAATCATGCTTCCACAGCTCTCCCAGAGTTCCCAGCTTAACATGCAAATGAGCATATACAGGTATTGTTTTTCAGACTTTACCCTTAGCAATGGACACAGTTTTAAACTGTTTTAAAGTTTTTACCTTGTGAATTTTCCTCAGTTCACCTGTAGACAAAGTTGATGTTTGGAAGTTGCTTATAGTAGACTACCATAGTAGGTAAATTCTAGAGAAACAAAAGATTTTATGCCAAAATATATCAATGCAAAGCGTTTCCTAACTCATATATGTCAAAACTATTTCATGGATAGCAGGGTAAAACTTACATGGAAAGGTTAAAGGATCTTAACATGTATAGCTTGGAGGAGAGACGAGACGGGGAAGAGGGGAACATTTAAATACATAA